TTGGTTATTGATAAGTTTAAACAACGCACAAGTAGGGCCAAGAGCCCACAAACTTAAGTTAACCTAGTACGCCAGATTTCCACTTTTTCGGAATTTTCCATTTTGCTAAAAAAGCTTTTTTTGTCTAGTAAACGTTATATTCCTTCATAAATCACATGCCCTATTGTGAAGAACAACCATGAGTTTATTGTTGTAAAACTTTTGGTGCCTCAGCTTCGGTTGCGTCTGAGTAACAGGGAGTTGCTTGTAAAAATCCTTGGATTTTATGAGTTAGTGAACCTACTGTAGATATACATACAGTGCATTCCGTCGGTGATGTTATTTATTGATGGGGCGTAGACACTGACGTTAGTGGCCAAGTTGGCCACTTAGGCTACAGTCCTTGACGGTTGAAGTGACTCGTTGCGTTGTATTCGGAACTTCGCTGTTGAGAAACGTATATCCGGCACAACTGAAGGCAGGATTGGCTTTAGAGGCCCACAAATCAGGTCGCTCTATAATAAAAAACTTCTTTTTATACGTTCAGTAGCCTATGTTTGACATTTTTTTTGTAAGCTTCACCATAGCCAGACGAATTTCCATATTCGTTAAATTACCCCTGCATAAGGTCGAATTTACCTCAATTGGCACTCGTATCCTGCGCGACAGAAGTTCATGTCGATGGAATTTTATTCTATCTTGCATATTAAAGCAAACGTAGTCGCCCCATGTTCTCCGGTAGCCTAATGTCGCCCTGGGTACCATGTGAAGAGTGGACGCCCAGGCCTCTCAGATGGTCGAATGCGTCCCTGTTGCAGTAAAGGTTCAAACTCGGCCTTCGCAGCCCGCAAACGAATGGGTGCAAGTCGTCTAGCGCTTGCATCTCTTTTATTCTAGAACGCCTATTTCTCTTGACAGAACAGTGAACTTGCGTACTGGGGGAAGATGGTAGGTTTGACGTCATTTATATTGAACTCAAGATTTTGAAAAAAAACATCTTTTTTTTCTTTTGACAATTGTGTTGTTTCGAATTTGCGTTACTTTACTATACTCAGTCCAATACTACTAAATTGACAAAACTGCCCTCGGTAAAAATACGCACAAATTATAACAAAACCATGAACGCTGAAAATATGACCATAGGTAATTTAACGCAGATAGAGTATGTGATTAGAAATTGCTCAGCAGTGTTCGCAACTATGCCTGGTGCCCCCTCATCGACATTGACAGCAAAAGTAAGAACATTTAATATATGTTCGAACATTTTTTTATTAGGTGAGCCATGATAATCAGCGTGCAAAAGACTAATTGGTCGCCTACGAGCACTTGATGCAGATTTTTGTATCAAGGGCGCTCATGCAAGTTACAATCTCAGGCTGTTCGCTGCCTACTCTTTCAGACTTTACAAGTCAAGAGAGGTAAAATCGATCACGCTCCACGTAGCACATCACTGACGCGGGCATAAGCGTGGATTTGGTCATGGGCAGACGCTCTCACCTTTGACCTTGACAAATTGTCCTCAAGCTAAGCGACCCACGCAATCGAGCCCTTGATCACTCGAACATCATAAGCTGGTATAACCAACGGTGTCATAAGGATTACAAAGTTCGATGTTAAAAGGGGCTAATGATATACGGGGGCAGTGGACGAGTGGACCAACACTTTGTACATATGTAGCTTATTAATTACTCTAGGAATAACGTTAAGTTTGCTAGTATATTCCATTTCCACTATTTCAACAGCCAAGAAGTCCGATGCCACGTAAAGGTTTGTCGAACAGAATATACAAGACTTCCTGTTTGTACTTGTTGAACCTAAAACATCGACATCGTCAAGTCAAGTCAAGTTTATTAAAGGAAATATAGGCAAACGCCTTTGAACTCCCTTATTTACCTAATATTAAAGAAATGCATCGGCACAGTCAAACATTTCAAAGAAGTCGTTGACAAAATTGTAGGCAGGTACTCGCTTGTTTCAAGTAATACACTCACATGTGTTGATGTCAGTTAACACGAGCCAGCAGTGTAACAGAGCAATAAGAGCAGACAGTGAGAGGGCCCATAGACAGGAAATTGGAGATATCGACACGCAAAGCCTTCCATGACTGAGCATAAGGTTGGAGAAAAGCAAGAATATACTTGTGCCTAGCCATACTCATTCAAAAAATAATCAGAACGAATATATACACAGGCTAATGCTATTTGCCATCCCTAAAGAATTATAAGTAACTGGGAGAATTTCATTAGTTTTTAAGCAACTCTATATCCGTGTTACTGCGGTTGCAGACAAAAGATTTTTTAGCACTTTCCATGCTGTTTTAACTTCTACATGGTGATCAAAACCACGAGCGGCAGAAAGCTGTTGTGTAGTTTTCATAACCTCTATAAAACGCGCCACATACAATATCCGATTTGGTTGATCCCTGCGGAATGTGTAGTCGCGCTGGTTCGCTGTTGTTAGTTGGTATAAAACAAGTGCGTTCATTTATTATTTACTTATTTTATACGGTTTAATCGGTTTAGTCTAAGCCGGTGTTCGTCCTCCCAAAATTTACCGAATTATTTAGCTCTGTTTCGTTTCAAATCCGTCTCTCCGAGTATATTGTGTTTTAGGTTTATTGGCGTGCACACACCATCGTATGTTCCGTGTGAAGCTAATCATTAACGTTCCATTTTTCGCACCCTTCCCTTTGCATGTGGATTTGGATATACTTAAACCCATTTCATTACAACTGTCCCAATGAAATGCGACATAACTACGGCAAAATTTTGGCAAGTCCATACATGCACACTAGCTTTGTGTCTGCGTAAGCTGGCCTTTTAGTTGCTGGCTTAATAACCTATATAATGTGTGTTCGATATCAATTCTCGCTGTTGCAAAATCGATGCCCGCATTGGGCCAACCACATTCCTACCAATAGAACAACATGGCTTTGTCGAAGGCAAATCGTGCACCACTAACCTCATGGTGGCTCGTGAAGCTTGCTGCGAAGCCAAAGAAAAACGACTGCCGGTACATGTGGCCTTAATCGACCTTAACAAGTCATTTGGTAAAGTCGATCACGTGCTCCTTCTGACCAAGCTCAGTAATACGCCCATCCCAAGACCTGTAGTCAAACGGATCAACGGGTACTTGCTCGGTAGACAATGCCGGGTCAGGGTTAGTGAAGGGCGTTCCTCTGCGTACGAGGTTCGTAGTGGCGTACTTCAAGGGTCGTTGCTGGGTCCCAGACTATTTTCTCTATAGTTTGCGGATATCCTATCAAGACTTTTGCCCCTATGCCTTCT